CTTAAAAAACAGACTGCAGGAAGGAAAACACAACCAGGAAATCTTTAGTTATGTTTTCATACCATTTGCTGCTTCGTATAATAAACCCCAAATATTTTTTAACCACTAGCCTACTGGGCACTTGTACCCCCTTCCTGCCCAGGACAATTTTCAGCTTTCAGCGCTGTCGCACTTTGAATGAATTGCGTGGTCATGCAACATTGTACCCAAACTAAATTTTTATTATTATTTTTTTTTTTTTTTTTTAGACAGATAGAGCTTTCTTTTGGTAGTATTTAATCACTACTGGCTTTTTTATGAAAAACTAAAGACTGACAATTTTGAAATGTAGTTTTTTCTTAGTTTCTGTTATAACATTTTGTAAATAAGTAATTTTTCTCCTTCACTGATGTGCCCTAATGAGGCTGCAGTGATGGGCACCGATAGTGGCACCACTGATGGGCACTGAAAGGCAGCACTCATGTGCACTGGTACGTGGCATTGATGGGCACAGATCATCAGCACTCTGATGATCAGTGTAGATGTCCACTCTGAGGAATGCCACTTACCAGCTCTCCTCACGCTGTCGGCGTGAGGAGAGGACTGCCGATAACCAGCATTTCCTATTTACATGTGATCAGCTGTGATTTGACACAGCTGATCACGAGAGCTGACGTCATCGGCTCTTTACAGTGATCGGTGATCCGCTGTGTCCCAGGGAAACAGCACATCACAGATTGCCGCCCGCATGCGCAGTTAGAGTAGGAGGACGTCATATAACGTCCTCCCAGAATGAGAGAACCGCTGCCCACCATTACCTTATATGGCAGGCGGGAGGCGGTTAAAGATGATCCAGCTCAACATCCCCGCACTCCCTCTGAAGTCCAATGTGGCTGAGAGAATGTAAGACGGGCTTTTCATAGAATGGTGCATTTTGGCCATTTTGTAGAGCCATCATCCGGACAGGCAAACTTGGTACTTTTATTCACTTAACGCTTCACTTTGGGGAGATCTCTTGCGTCTCCATGACTTGAACTAAAATCTTCACGCAGACAGCAAATAACTCGATCGGATTTTGAGTTGTGTAAAATCTATCAGATTATATTTTTTGCTGCCTATGTGGAGATTTCACAAGTCATAAGGGACGCAACAGGAAATCTCTCCAAAGTGAAGAGTTCCCATTTTGAGTGTTGCAAGGGAAACTCTTACAGTTTGAGGACATCTCTGCCCTAGTGACTACTCAAAATGTTTGAATTCCCTTTCATTTTCTGATTTTGGCGACAGTGGTCACCAGCACAAATAGACAAGCGACAAAAAAACAGAAAGTAAAGTTTCCCTACCCTAGCCATTAGAGAAAAATAAGATGCCATTCCATATACTTTAACCACCCGAGTAGCGGCCTATACGCACACCTTCATTACGAGAGCATTTTCACTGCTGTAATAGTTTTGACAATTTAGTCACACAACACAGTACCAAAATGAAGTTTGTGGAGATTGGTAATGGTGCACTAAATATATCACATAGAGATCATACACAGATGTAATAGCATGGGTGTTCATAAGCGGTTAAACGGTAAGTTTATCTTTGGGAACATGTTACATGTTCCACCTGTTTTTAGGGTGGAACATGTAACATGTTTCCAATGCTGCAGCTGCTGATCACTGGTGCAATGCTTTACAGGCTCCTGTAACCAAAAATAATAAAAACACATTTTTTTACCTGAAAATAAAAAAAAAAAAAGTGCCTTTATTATTTTGGGTCAAAAAAGATGAACTTATCCTTTAACTTATTATTGCATATTTTATGGTCCATGTATTTGGTGATGTGTCTATTTCCCACATGCATTATACTAATATGTGTCCCTCCTCACCTCAGAAAGTTGGGAGGTCTGATAAGAGAACACAGCAAATGACTTTTGCATTGTATGAAACAAGTCTTCTCAACCAGGGTTCTGTGAAACCCTAGGGTTCCTCCAGAGGCTGCTAAATATTTCCCTGAGCAATGAGCAGGTTCTGAACCTCAGAAAAATAACCACTGACCTATCTATAAGAGGGGTATCCTCCCAACTAGCTACTGACGTAACGGACGTCCTTCCCCCACTGGCCACTGAGGTAAAAAGCATTCCTTGGGCCCCCACCGTTTTAGGAAGCTCCATTTCCCCGGGCGGCCACAGGTTTAGGAAGCTCCATTTCCCCGGGCGGCCACAGGTTTAGGAAGCTCCATTCCCCCCGGCCACCAACGTAAGGAAGCTCCATTCCCCCCGGCCACCAACGTAAGGAAGCTCCATTCCCCCCGGCCACCAACGTAAGGAAGCTCCATTCCCCCCGGCCACCAACGTAAGGAAGCTCCATTCCCCCCGGCCACCAACGTAAGGAAGCTCCATTCCCCCCGGCCACCAACGTAAGGAAGCTCCATTCCCCCCGGCCACCAACGTAAGGAAGCTCCATTCCCCCCGGCCACCAACGTAAGGAAGCTCCATTCCCCCCGGCCACCAACGTAAGGAAGCTCCATTCCCCCCGGCCACCAACGTAAGGAAGCTCCATTCCCCCCGGCCACCAACGTAAGGAAGCTCCATTCCCCCGGCCACCAACGTAAGGAAGCTCCATTCCCCCCGGCCACCAACGTAAGGAAGCTCCATTCCCCCCGGCCACCAACGTAAGGAAGCTCCATTCCCCCCGGCCACCAACGTAAGGAAGCTCCATTCCCCTCGGCCACCAACGTAAGGAAGCTCCATTCCCCTCGGCCACCCACGTAAGGGAGCTCCATTCCCCTCGGCCACCAACGTAAGGAAGCTCCATTCCCCTCGGCCACCCACGTAAGGAAGCTCCATTCCCCCCGGCCACCCACGTAAGGAAGCTCCATTCCCCCCGGCCACCCACGTAAGGAAGCTCCATTCCCCCCGGCCACCCAAGGAAGCTCCATTCCCCTCGGCCACCCAAGGAAGCTCCATTCCCCTCGGCCACCCAAGGAAGCTCCATTCCCCTCGGCCACCCAAGGAAGCTCCATTCCCCTCGGCCACCCAAGGAAGCTCCATTCCCCTCGGCCACCCAAGGAAGCTCCATTCCCCTCGGCCACCCAAGGAAGCTCCATTCCCCTCGGCCACCCAAGGAAGCTCCATTCCCCTCGGCCACCAACGTAAGGAAGCTCCATTCCCCTCGGCCACCAACGTAAGGAAGCTCCATTCCCCTCGGCCACCAACGTAAGAAAGCTCCATTCCCCTCGGCCACCAACGCAAGGAAGCTCCATTCCCCTCGGCCACCAACGTAAGGAAGCTCCATTCCCCTCGGCCACCAACGTAAGGAAGCTCCATTCCCCTCGGCCACCAACGTAAGGAAGCTCCATTCCCCTCGGCCACCAACGTAAGGAAGCTCCATTCCCCTCGGCCACCAACATAAGGAAGCTCCATTCCCCTCGGCCACCAACGTAAGGAAGCTCCATTCCCCTCAGGCCACCAACGTAAGGAACCTCCATTCCCCTCAGGCCACCAACGTAAGGAACCTCCATTCCCCTCGGCCACCAACGTAAGGAACCTCCATTCCCCTCGGCCACCAACGTAAGGAACCTCCATTCCCCTCGGCCACCAACGTAAGGAACCTCCATTCCCCTCAGGCCACCAACGTAAGGAAGCTCCATTCCCCTCAGGCCACCAACGTAAGGAACCTCCATTCCCCTCAGGCCACCAACCTAAGGTACCTCCAGAAATGTGAAAGTTTACTTTAAGTGTCCATGTTAAAAACATTGAAAAGGGCTGATCTAAACCATAAAATCCTCAGTGTACAAAATATAAACTATCCATTTCCAGCAGCAATAAAGTGCTTTCCCCTCCCAACTTCAACTGGTTTTACACCAGACTGCAGAGCAATGGTCCACACATACGAATAATTGCACATACTGGTAAAACATAGAAAACAGACAAAACTATTCCATACAACCTCCTCTTTTTTTCTTTTTGCACCAGCAATATTCAAAGCGGTATTAAACCAAAACCGACTTTAAAAAGGAGAACTCCAGACACAAACGTTATTTAAATATACATTCCTCAATAACCACAAAAGATAAAGCCGCTGTATGTTCACTTAATGCATTTGCAAACTTAGCTATTACCTCATAAAAGTAGCCGTGCCTCCCCCAGTATATTACAGACATCTTGTACAGAGACCCAGCAGGCTCCACACACTACAGGCTACTTGCGGAACGCTTGCATTGCTTTTGAGGTCACTTCCGTCTTTTCTGGGCACCTTGTTGTGGTGGATTTTTGTGTGACAACTCAGCTTGGTGTACTGCGATATCCCTTAGGATAACTTGGACTTTGAACTGTCTATGCAGATGGAGTGCGGCCAACAATACAAAGCACTGTGTGTGATGTGAATGGGCCCTAAAGCTGAACGAGTACACAGATCTGGTGGAAATAGCCAACACACAGCCACATTCAGGGAAGAATCCACAGGACACAATATCGGATTCACCCCAAATCCTGCAGAGGGGTCTCACACCATGTACCACTGACAGGGGTGCTTACAATGATCAGCTTGTTCCTGGGGGAGTTGTGTGCGCCATCTGTGGACAGGTCTCCAGGCTGCCATATTGCATTGATTTTGATCGAACATTTCAATGCTGGAAGGGGAACATATGGAACAACAAGATACAATATGGCTTCTGCAGCAGTTGCATATGTTATTATTTTCCCTCATAAAAGTGCGATCCCCTTTCAATATACAGGCCAGGCCGGTGTCGTCCAGAACGCCATAGTCCTGCAATGGTCCAGAGTGGAGGCTCTCCCCATCCCCGGCCTTCCACCCATCCAGCTGACACAACATCTGGCGGCCATGGCGGCCGGGAGTGCCAATTGCGGCCTCCATCCCCGAGACCCAGGTCGCCCCGTTCGGAGTAGACTCCGCTCCGTCCACGGCCAGCCCGCTCTCTCAGCGTTCGTCATGCCGCCATGGCCTCCATGCGCCCGTCCAGGCCTGCTAATTTTCCCCCCCCCCGCCACCATTTCCGCCCTCCCCCGCACTCACCATCACGGGCCGTGCCCATTAGCTGATCCAGCAAAGCTCTCATCTGGGCCTGAGCCGACATTATGAATCGCAGCTGCTTGCCCCAGGCACCTCACAGCGCCCTCACCGACCACTATTCTCCCGGCAGCCCGCTCAGCAAGCGACGCTAAAGGATTGTGGGAGGACAGAAACACCGGAAGTAGTGCTTCTGAGCCGTGCAGGGTCCCGGGCGGCGAGGCGGATGGGGGCGGGACGGCGTCCTGGTTCACTACAATGTGTCACCGAGTCATTGTTCCATTGGTGTCATGGGGACTGGGCTAGGTAACCGAATACTGGGAGGAAGGAATGTCGGCGCTCACTACTTTCTGTGAGACTACAATTGGCGGCATACAGCTGTCGGGGCTCCTGGGCTCATGCAATGCCTGCCACCTCAGAGCCCCCAATATCAGCGAACAAGGCGGAGGGGGATATCAGTGAGCCTCCCACTTGACTATATCAAACGTTACGTTCTTTTTCTTTCACGGCGGACAGGCTTCAGGCGAAGTCTGAGGCCACAGTGCACTCTGGGAAATGTAGTTTGGCAGAGGCGCCAGGGTAGGTTGGGCAGCTCCGCCTTCTGGTAGTTGGGGGGTAGCTCCTCCCCAGACTTCGCACTCTCACTTTGTGACCGCAGGGAAGTGCAGGCGCGGTGGGAGGGAGGTGCTCATGTGTGCGGACGGCGGACACTGCACCAGCTGATCAGGTACGGCGGATGACGGGCTCCCAAGTCACCATACACTGTACGTGGCCATGGACGTACCTTTCCCACAGTCCTCCCCTCCAATGCAGGCAGTGTATGGGACGTTATGTACACTGCCTGCTGGGAACAAAGTCAGGGCGTTGGGAGGAAAAGTACAACTACGCATCGGGAGTGTGGGAGAGGAGAGGATGGCGGGGTGTGAGCGCCTTCTGCTCACCAAGCTGACCCTTCCATAGAGTGGTGCTGGGGAAGAGTAGCCGTGATCACATGGGGCAAGGTGGCCTTCTCCGGTCACTGGACACAGGGCGGGGAATGCACGGCTATGGGTCAGGGTAGGGTCTGTGCACACGAGACACCATGCTTGGCAGATCACTGGCTGATTTGTATTCCTGTGTGTGGGATGGGGATCGCCGTGTTGGTCGTGATAACAGAAGTATGTCTGACTATATACATCAACACATGTACCTGGGAGATCTGTGCCCCCCCCAATCCTATATACATCAACACATGTACCTGGATATCTGTGTCCCCCCCCCCCCCCAATCCTATATACATCAACACGTACCTGGAGCTCTGTCTGTGCCCCCCCCCCCCCCCAATCCTATATACATCAACACATGTACCTGGAGATCTGTGCCCCCCCCCCAATCCTATATACATCAACACATGTACCTGGAGATCTGTGCCCCCCCCCCAATCCTATATACATCAACACATGTACCTGGATATCTGTGTCCCCCCCCCCCCCAATCCTATATACATCAACACGTACCTGGAGCTCTGTGCCCCCCCCCCCCAATCCTATATACATCAACACATGTACCTGGAGATCTGTGCCCCCCCCCCAATCCTATATACATCAACACATGTACCTGGAGATCTGTGCCCCCCCCCCATCCTATATACATCAACACATGTACCTGGAGATCTGTGCCCCCCCAATCCTATATAGGTTAACACATGTACCTGGAGATCTGTGCCCCCCCCAATCCTATATACGTCAACACATGTACCTGGAGATCTGTGCCCCCCCCAATCCTATATACGTCAACACATTTACCTGGAGATCTGTGCCCCCCCAATCCTATATGCGTCAACACATGTACCTGGAGATCTGTGCCCCCCCCCCAATCCTATATACGTCAACACATGTACCTGGTGATCTGTGCCCCCCCAATCCTATATACATCAACACATGTACCTGGAGATCTGTGCCCACCCCCCCCCCCCCAAATCCGATACACGTCAACACATGTACCTGGAGATCTGTGGCCCCCCCAATCCGATACACGTCAACACATGTACCTGGATATCTGTGCCCCCCCCCATCTTATATACGGCAACACATGTACCTGGATATCTGTGCCCTCGCCCCCCCCCCCCCCAATCCTATGTACGTCAACACATGTACCTGGATATCTGTGTGTCCCCCAAATCCTACAAACAAGAGATACCTGTGCTCAAATCCCAACAACTAGTATATGCACTTATCCATCGGGTGCTAAAGGGGTGTAACCACGTATTAACACTAGATATTCTGAAGGACCCTCTGCACACTGGTATATACCCTTTCAAGCAGACTCTGCAATAAATAGGGATATTTGGTTCACACATATTGCAATACATGTTTAAGCTGGCCAACTGCGTCAAAGTAATCCCTCTATGGCCAGTCCTACTCTGCAATGCCTACGCAAATGCTACTGTCATCATCACATGTACCTGGAACCTGGACATCTCTGTCCCCCCCCCCAATCCTATATACATCAACTCATGTACCTAGATATCTCTGCCATGCCCCAATCCTATGTACATCAACACGTACCTGGAACCTGGATATCTCTGTCCCCCCCCCTCCCAATCCTATATACATCACATGTACCTGGATATGTGTCCCCCCCCCCCCCCCTCCAATCCTATATACATCATCACATGTACCTGGATATCTCTGCCCCCCATCCTATATACATCATTACTGCATACCCGGACATCTCTGCCCCCCCCCATTCAATATACATCATCACAGTGTAGCTGGATATTTCAGTGTGTCGTTCCCCCCCATCCTGTATACATCATCGCAGTGTACCAAGTTATGATTGTGTCTCCCCCCATCCTATATACATCATCATAGTTTACCCTGTTATCTGTGTCCCCCCCATCCTATATACATCAATGTGTACCCAGATATCTCTGTGTCTTCTCTTACTCTGTAGATATCATCACTGCGTACCTGGATAGCTCTACCCTCCATCCTATATACATCACCATTGTGTACCCTGATATTTCTGCCCCTCATCCTATATACATCATCAGAGTGTACCTGGTCATTTCTGTGTCTACCCCCGTCGTATATACATCATCACAGTGTACCCAGATATATCTGCCCTCCCCCCATCCTATATACATCATCAGAGTGTACCAAGTTATCTCTGTCTCCCGCATCCTATATACATCATCACAGTGTACCCAGTTATCTCTGTGTCCCCCCATCCTATATACATCATCACAGCGTACCAAGATATCTCTGCCCCCCCCAATCCTGTATACATCATAACAGTGTACCAAGTTATCTCTGTGTCTCCCCCATCCTATATACATCATCACAGTGTACCCAGTTATCTCTGTGTCCCCCCATCCTATATACATCATTACAGCGTACCAAGATATCTCTGCCCCCCCCCAATCCTGTATACATCATAACAGTGTACCAAGTTATCTCTGTGTCTCCCCCATCCTATATACATCATCACATTGTACCCGGTTATCTCTGTGTACCCCCATCCTATATACATCATCACATTGTTCCCAGATATCTGTGTCTCCTCATCCTAGTTGGGGCACTTTGTAAAATCTACATAAAAACAGAATGTAATGATTTGCAAATCTCATAAACCCATATTTTATTCACAATAGAAGACAGAAAACATCAAATGTTTAAACTGAAAATAATTACCATTTAAAAAAAAAACGTAATTTCGAAATTGATGTCAGCAACACGTCTCAAAAAAGTTGGGACAGGGCAACAAAAAGCTGGCAAAGTAAGTGGTACCAATAAGGAAAAGCTGGAAGATCATTTTTGCAAATAATTAGGTTAAGTGGCAACAGGTCAATTACATAATTGGGTATAAAAAGAGCATCTCAGAGAGTTAGAGTGTCTCAGAAGTAAAGATGGATAGAAGTTACCAATCTGTGTAACAATTGTCAAACAATTTCAGATTAATGTTCTTCAATGTAAAATTGCAAAGACTATAAATATCTCATCTACAGTACATAATATCAAACGATTCAGATAATCTGGAGAAATTTCTGTGTACAAAAGACAAGGTCGAATGTCTGATGTTCGGGCCCTTAGACGGCACTGCATTAAAAACAGGCATGATTCTGTGGTGGACATCACTGCATGGGCTCAGGAATACTTCCAGAAATCACTGTCTGGGAACACAGTTAGCTTTGCCATCCAAAAGTGCAATGTAAAGCTCTATCATGCAAAGAAGAAGCCATATCTGAACATGACCCAGAAACACCACCATCTTCTCTGTGCCTAGGCTCATTTAACATGGTCTATTGCAAAGTGGAAAACTGTTCTGTGTTCAGACAAATTGAAATTTGACATTCTTTTTTGGCAATTACAGATGCTGCGTCCTCCAGACTAAAGAGTAGAGTGACCTTCCAGCTTATCAGTGTTCTGTATAAAAGCCTGCATCTCTGATGGTATGGGGGTGTATTAGCCCATGTGGAATGGGCAGCTTGCACATCTGGAAAGGAACCATCAAGGCTGAAAGATATATTCAGGTATTAGAGCAGCATATGGCCCATCCAGATCAGAGGTCTTTATCAGGCAAGGCCTTGCATATTTCAGCAGAACAATGCTAAACCGCATACTGCATCTGTGACAATAGCATGGCTTCAGAGTAGAAGAGTCCAGGTGCTTAACTGGCCTGCCTGCAGTCCAGACCTTTCACCAGTTGAAGATATGTGGCGCATCTTGAAACTAAAAATACGACAAAGAAGACCGAGGGCTTTTGAACAGTTAGAATTCTATATCAGGCAAGAATGGGAGAACATTCCTTTTCCAAAACTCCAGCAACTGATCTCATTTTCCAGATGTTTACAGAGTGTTGTTAAAAGAAGAGGGGATGCTACATCGGGGTAAACATGGCCCTGTCCCAACTTTTCTGAGAAATTTTGCTGCCAACAATTTCAAAATGACCTTATTTTTTTCTTTAAATTATACATTTTCTCGGTTTAAACATTTGATATGTTTCCATTGTTAATAAAATAGGGTTTATGAGATTTGCAGATCATTGCATTTTGTTTTTATGTGGTTTTTTACACCGCGGCCCAACTTTTTTGGAATTGGGGTTGTACATCATCACGTTATACCTGGATATCTGTGTCCCCTCATGATAACATTATACCTGGATAGCTCTGTGTCCCTTCATCCTATATAGATCATCAGAGTGTACCTGGATATCTCCCTGTCCTCTTATATGTATCATGACATTGTACTTGAATACATTGCATTCTTCTTACATAGAAGAGGGAAGCTAGGTAGATTTTTTTTTTTTTTCAAGTAAAAAGGTAAGCAGAAATTGTTAAAATATACTGTGTGTGTGTGTGTATACACACACAAAGTGGTATCAAAAAGTTTCGAGACTAGTTTTGTAACATGCTAACAGCTGGCAGCAGAAGGCTGCACGCACAGTCACAGGGAGCACCGACCTTCATAATTTAGTCTGCCAAAACATTGGCCTGTGTACATTGGGAGATGTGCAACTGGTGAAGTGCTGCACTTAATCATTTGAGGTGTTTTGAGTGGCACATGCGCTTCAAGACCGGAAGAACATCACTGGAAGACAACGAGAAATCAGGAAGACCTTCAACAAGCTCAACACTAAAATGTCAAACCATTCAGCAACTGTCAGGAATCCCCGCTGCGACAGGCTCGGCGCAGGCGCCGTGCACCGCCCCCGTGTCAGAATGCGGGCACTGAGACCTGGCCGTCC